GGTGGCCACCAACACGTGCGGGACTCCGCCCGAGGAGTACTGTGTGCAGACCGGGGTGACCGGGGTCACCAAGTCCTGTCACCTGTGCGACGCCGGGCAGCCCCACCTGCAGCACGGGGCAGCCTTCCTGACTGACTACAACAACCAGGCCGACACCACCTGGTGGCAGAGCCAGACCATGCTGGCCGGGGTGCAGTACCCCAACTCCATCAACCTCACGCTGCACCTGGGTAAGCGGTGACAGCCCCCTTATCCCCTACTGCTGCTCTCCAGCAGCTCAGCTCCCGGGCCATCTTCACCCCCTGGCCCAGCCTGCGGGGCCCAGACAGCCGCGTGCTGGCCCTCCTCTCCCCAGCATGGGCCACACAGGAATTCCCTTCTCCGACTTCTAAGCTCGATCTAGCACTTAACAGCCCGCGAGCCAAGGTGCTTCCCGCCAGCATCTCTGTTTGTCTGTTCTAACCTAACCGGATTCTCGCTTCCTCGATTACTCGGCATTTCGGCTGTTTTGGTCCCTCTTTTCTGAAGCGTTAATCAGAAACTTCCATCCTCTCTTGTCCACCTTAAGCGTTCTTACCTTATTTAAAACGTCTGTCTCTCCAGGGTTGAGGGTGATTGCTGAAATAAACTGGAGAGGAAAGAATCTAAGTTAAGGGGATTTGAGGGGAGCCCATGCCTTTTCTGTCGCTTTTGCCTATGTGTAATTAAAATAGAAGTTCACTTTTAAAGTGCTTGTTCTCTAGGGTTGTTCAGCTTTCATTAAGGGCCACAAAACGATTTTACTGCTAATCCTGGTACAGAGGAAACAAAAGGAAGTATCTGCACTCACTGTAATTGTTGGGTACAGTTTTGGCCCTCGGTAAAAAGGCTCTCCTCATTGTGTTCCCTTTTGCTTTGATTCAAAGCGAGTGTGGAAACATGTGTAAGTGACTTTTCAGAAATCAAGGAAGGGATATATAGAAAACTTCATTGCTGGGTGCTGGATGAGGATGGACATGTTTATCCCAAAGTATTAAAAATCATGTTTGTTCTAGGTCAGTTTTTCTTCATCCTTGAAATATATAAACAAGCAGAATGATTCACTGTTGTGTTTAACACAGTAACATATGCATAAGAAAGTGGCATCTGATGTATAGACAGCTTCAATCCCCATTGCGTTGAGAGACTTATTACCGGTAACTAATAGTAATGAACTTCTAGAGAGAAGAGCGTACCACACCATTCTTCTGTCAAAGCAGGATAATTGCAAGGCTACAAACATTAGGTGGGGAACCTTGAAAGGAATGTTTGGAGGGCACGTGGTTCTTTTGGTTGTGGTTTGTATTTTTCTTCTCATTACTCTCTGGTACATTACACTTTATGTGTCAAGATTCCAGAGAAAGAATATGACTTACAAAAAGTACTCTGAAAAGTGAAGTTAAATTACTGTGTGTAGAGTAAGTTTTATAAAAGCAACATTTATCACCTTTATGGTAAATATCATTTTATTTGTAGGCAAGTCATTGGGAAGATGAAACTTTTTGAAAATAAGTCCATAAAGTGAAACTCTGAGACAGTTGTTTTTCAGAGATGGAAGAAGTAAACTGGGTTCAGTTTTTCAAAGGTTTTGGAAACATGCAGAACTAGCGATATGTTGGAACAAGTGCCTTTCTCCAAAGATTCTGCAAGAGACCTAGGGACTCCTAAGACTTTGTGGGAATGTTCTTTAGCTATTTTTTCTTATGCATTCATTATATTTTAAAACTTGGCCAAAATTATTTTTGAAATTTATATCCAATTATTTTTGTTTAAATTTTGCCTTGTTAAGGCTTCTGTGTAGAATTTTGAATGCCCATAAAGTCTTATTTTGTCTATTTTGAAATGTTAAAAATTTCAAAGCAGAAGTGTGGCCTTGATGTCTCAAATGCCTGAGATTCAATTGAAAATTTCTAAGAATTTCTTATTTAGGTAAAGATAGGGCTGTCAGTCTCAGCCTTCTGAATTTTCTGCTGTTAGCACTATTAGCAAAAGGTTATTGCAGGTGATTGCAGATTACTCAGTGATTACTCCTCTGTTACAAAGATAATGTGTTAGGTAAGACAATATCTCTCAAGTTAGGTTGTTGCTACCGGGTGGCAGGTATGTTAGCCGTGGGTCCTAGTGGTTAAAAGGTCGAAAGAGATCTCAGAGTTCACCTAGTTAGGACTCTTAGCATGACTTTTTACTCTGAAAATCATGTTATATGCTTGAACTTGTTTTGCTGAAAAAAGTCTTCAGTTTTTGGTAATCTTGCTAAATGAAGTTGATAGAACTATAGATTTAAAACTTCTAAGAAAAAAAGTCATGCAAAATAGTTTCATACAAGTATTGTACTGTAAAAACATTCACTTTAAACTTTTTAGATAGACAGTTTCTAAAAACTCGACTAGAACTCATTGAACTTACTCTTGGGTCAGAAATGCTGTCTGGGAGGAAATTGTGTGTGGTGGAGGAGGTGGGGAAGGGGAGGGAGATTTGTGTGTGGTGGGGCTGATGTCTCAATCTGTCTCTGTCTCTGCTCTCTCACTTTTAATAACAAGGATATATGTATTCATGCATGTTATGATCTATAACTTATGGCAGATGGGCAAGGCTTTATGTTTCACTGTGTTTTGATATTCAGCATATTCACTCCCTAACTCCAGTTACTCCATGGGCTCTGGCTTACTAATTATTTCCCATGGATTCAAGGACCATGACTGTTTGTGCATCTATTAAATCTCCCATCCAGTTCAAATTTCACATACCCTTAAACAAGTGATGCATATTGTGCCTTGCCCTTACAGAGCATGTGAAACTCGGAGTGAGCAATGTGAAAGAACTAGGTCTAGCTGCCACTTTTCTAGCCTGCCTTTTGGTGCTAAACTTTAAATAGGGTGAACTTTAAAGTAAGCAAAGTCAGATTGCACTTTAAGTAGACACAAGAAACATGCATATTTTGCCACTGATCATAAGTCTTTTTTTTAATTGTAAAAATAAAACATGTCATGGTGAATTAAAACAGTAACTATAATGACTAGTGAGTCTCTTCATGTCCAATTGCTGAGTTTCCCTGGAGACCACAGCTCACAATTTCTTACGTAACTTTCTGGAAACTTTTCGTGCATGTACATGTCTATAAAAAAATGACACGATCATTTTAACTGGTACCTTTTTTTGGCGGGGGGGGGGGGTGAGGCGTATTTTAACAGATGGCAAGTACAAATTAGATGATGGTACCATTATCATCACTTGTACCAGAGCCAGGAAAATCAGCGTTGATTGTGAAAGCAGCTATGTCTTAAGCACCATATACAGTAATGTATTAAGCCTCAGGGTTCAGGGTGCAGTGTCTCCTTGGTTATAAGGAGTTAAAGTTGTGGGAGTCAGGACTGCCTTTTCTGCCTGTTGTGAAGAGAAATCTCAGCCAGGCACCCTTTTCTAAAAAGTCTTTCTTACTTTGCCTTCAACTTCTGGATCTTCTCTTTTCACTTCTGTATGGGTTGGTCAACTGCTTTTTGAAAGTTTGGCTTTCATGTTTTATAATAAGTCATAATAAGTTTTTTTCTCTCTTGTCAGTAGAGTAGTTGACAGTAAGATTGTCGCTGAGGATGTGCCTTTTATTAAACAATCCCTTTAATTAACTTGATAGTCACTGTGGATGGAAACTTGGCAGACTGGGTCTTGATCTTAGAGGAAGGTAGCTCTCCCTCTTTCTAAAAACAATTTGATTAAGGAAGAGAGCGCGTATAAAACCAGCTCAGTCAAAGTTTATGGAACTCCTAAAATTTACGCCAAGACCAGATCTGTTGCCAAGCTCCTCATAAGCTTTGGGAACAGGTATTGATTAAATGACACTTTTAAGCTGTATCTAAGTATCTTGTGTGTGTGTCTAAATCAGAATAATTGATATATAAGGATATTACTGGTCCTCCTGGTGTAAAAGTCATATGAAACAAACAGCAGCTTTTCCCGCAGGAAAATCTTTGCAAGGTAGGCTCTGACTCTGTCAGGGAATAGTTCAGCTGGTGACTTCGCTGTGGTATTTGTGCACCCCGAGGGGACACTGTTTCAGTTTGTCTCACAGAGGCCTGATTTACATTTTGCAGGTTTCAACTTGAGACATTAAGGAGCTCTCCTTTAATGGCCAGCTGTTGCTGAACACGGTTTTATAAAGTTGCTGTTGGCTGTTTTCCTGTTCTACAATTCACTGCTTTTTCTGTAAATACCTTCTCCATGTTTCTAAAGCATTTAGAAAACAATTTACACATTAGAAGAGAGAATTTGGGACTGTAACCCTCCCTCCCCTGTTATTTTGTCATTGGCCACATTTGTAGGAGGGATAAAGTTTGACTAGTTCAATTCTGAGTCCTTTTCGGAAGTTGGGTATGCCTTTTACTATGCACTCCTTCCCTTGTGTGTACGTCCTCCTGTTGCTGCCAGATTACTCTGCAAGCATATTTTACATTCCTACTAAGTACATAGTACCTGACAGAAAGTTGTAGAAAATTGAAAGTCCCATCTTCAGAAGTTTATGCTTTATGAAGTGGAATTTTCATACCCAGATGTAATGCCATTACACTAATAAATCAGAAGTGCCTTTATAATATTTTATAGTTTATAAAGCCTCCAGTTTCTCACTGAGTAGATTTTCACAACCCAGCGAAGGAAGGCAAAGATGAGGATCCGGAGGTTATGATTTGCCAAAAATCACAGAGGAGATAGGTTTTTGGCTCCTTAGTCTAACATACTAGCTCCTGCAGCTCTTAGCTTCCCTAACAAATGTCTCAAAAAAAATGACAGAGCAATTTTAAAATACAAGTTCATGTAGACACTGATTCAGCTACTGACTCCCTTGGTTTTCTTCCTTCTCCCTCTGTTCCTTTTCACTTATGTTTTGGGATTTCTTTCTTTTTCATGCTGCTCACTCTTCCTGAATGATCCCCTCTTAATCTTGAGGCTTCATTTACTCTTCACAAATCAATGAATTCTAAATTTGTATCTCCAGGACAGCTCTTTCTCCAGACCTCAAGACTTGTTGGACACGGTTGGTTTGGCATGTCCAGAGGCCATGTCCAAAACTAAACTCATTCCTCCTTGTCTTATCCAACTCAAAGCTGTATGTTAATGAACAGCAGTGCTGTTTAATGTGAGGCTCTCAACCAGTCTTTTGCCAAGTCTCCCCTGAAAGGTCCATGCTTGATAGGCTTTCGTTAAGCCTATAAAGATTACT